ATAATTACAACTATGCTTGAAAAATTAAATTTGATAATGGATTATTTAGCAGAGAATAATGAAGCAATAAAATTTTATTTAAAATTAAGCATTCAGCAATAAAATAAATCCTACTTTTAACTGAGAGGTCAGGATTAGATTATTGACATGAAGACTCAAGATACAGCATGAATTCTCTTTTGGGGGACAGAGATTATAACTTTTTTTGTACATAATAGGTGCTTAATACAAGTTGTGCCTTCTTAATACAAAAATCCTAAATCTTGAAATGCTCTAAAATCCAAAAATTTTTGAGCACCAGCATGATACCACAAGTGAAAGATTCTACATGCATGATGTGATGGGCTAAAGTTAAACACCTTCAAAATTTTGTTTCTTGTACAAAATTACTGAAAATATTGTATGTGTGCTCAGCGCCCATAGCACAGTGGTCACAGTGCTAGCCACATACACCAAGGGTGGCAGGTTCGAACCCACCCTGGGCCAGCTACACAATAATGACAATTGCAACAAAAAAATAGCTGGGCAAGTGTATAGTATAAATGTCTTAACACAATAACTAAGAAAGTGTGGTGAAGGTTGTATTAACCAGTTAGATGAAAATATTTCAAATGGTATATAAAAACAGCACATTGTACCCCATAATTGCATTAATGTACACAGCTATGATTTAATTAAAAAAAAAAAAAGAATGTCCACCCCGACACATGTGGACTATAGCTTAGGAAGTTAAGGGGCACCCCATGCTTTTCATCTTCTGACAGAATTGCTTGATGTCAGGCACCACAATTATGGAAGTTCTTCCTACTGTTGGAGGATGGATCTTTCAAAACCTGGAATAAAGGACATAAGTCTGTCTTCCTCAAACAGCGGTACCATACCAGTAATTCACAGTTGGTCCCATCAAGGATATCCAGGTGTGTCACTTGACCATACCTGACTGAAAATATTTCTTTATCTAAATAAGAGAAGGGATCTGTTTATCCATCAAAGGGGACTTGCCAGTAATGGACATTTGACAAAGAAGGACAGGAACAGTCTCTACCACAGTGGAGTTTTCAGGATTTACTTTGGATTCCTTCCTAACTGTGATGACAGTGATCACGAGTCTTAGTTTGTCATGGACAGTCCAGGTGTGTCTCTTGTTATTGATAGTGCCTTTCATCTCAAAGTAAAATAGATGATAAATTACATGGACATCCTGGCCCTAACCTTTAAAAAAAAAAAATAGCTGGATGGGCATTGTGGTGTGCACCTGTAGTCCTAGCTACTTGGGAGGGTGAGGCAAGAGAATTGCTTAAGTCCGAAGTTTGAGGTTGCTGTGAACTGTGATGCTGTGGCACTCTACTGAGGGCAACATAGTGAGACTCTGTCTCAAAAAAAGAAAAAAAACATTGTATGTGAAACATGAATTGATTTCATGTTTAAACTTTGGTATCATCCCCAAGATATATCATACATATATGCAAATATTCTAAAATCTAGAAAAGTTCAAAATTGGAAACTCTTCTAGTTTCAAGCATTTTGGATAAACCTGTAAATGTGATTCGGGAAGAGCACGGAAGTAGAAGGCTTGTGTTAGGGAGTGCTTAGCTTTGACTTCCCTGTTATCATCGGTGATCTTGGCAAGTTACTTCATGCTTCTGCATTGGACTTTCCAAATCTATAAAATAGAAAAGCTGCACTAGCTTTTCAGCATCTTTTCTACCTCTTAAATTCTATCATTCTAACCTCTATAAGTTGACCACCCAAGAGACTATCACAGACTGGTCAACATAAGGAACTAGGCCTACTGTACTGACACATACATGTGGTGCATGTCCAGTCCATGAAGCTGAGGAGGTCAGTGTAGGGAAGTGGTCAGTATAGAGGTCCTATTGTATTTTTCAAAATCTAAGCATTACTTTATGTATATATTTGTTGAATATATTTATTCTAAATATATAAAAATACATATTTTTTTCCTCAAAAGGAATTCCCCAATTTTTTTCCTCAAAAGGAATTTCCCCAATTTTTCAATTCTTTTACTTGAAGCTTGCTTGAAGTTCTACAGATTGACTCATGTAAGCCAGAGATGAAGTTTTTTTATATGTCAGTTTGATGTAATAGAGAAGAAAGTTAAAAATGGTTATCTCATAAAGTCTGCATCAGTCTAAGGCAGACCATTACTAACTTGTGGAAAGTATTGCATCTTTGCTCTCAGGCTGATTATTTTAGGTCAAGAGGCCTTTGACTCACCTACAAATGAATCCTAGTTTATATCAAATGCAATCCTGGGACAATTCTGGTTTTGGAGCAGATTAACTGTGGGTTTTACATCATGCTTCAGTTCAGAAAGGAGCCCCTTTTATAGGCGTACGCATAGTTTACAGGCCAAGCAGCACTTCTTCTGCGTGGGGGTCATTTTTGTTGTTGTTGTTGAATATGTGAGAGATCAGCTAGACAGGCATTTATTTGCCACTGGCATTTATTAAGAGTTTTCCAAAATACTGTTACATTAGTATATTTCCAACATAGATGTCTACTTGTTAATCAAAAGTATATGTTTATGCAGCCATAAATTCTTTTCTGAATAAGTTTGAAGCCATTAGATATCAAGTGATAACAGGATATAACATTTTGATATTCAAAACTACTTTAAAATAATGAAGAATTTGGAATGTTAATGAACTCTTACAGGTACCGTATTTTTTTTAAATTTGTGTGGATAGAATGGATTCTTTAATGGTTATGTCTTTAGTGTATTTCATAAGAAGCACACTAGACAATGGGACACCTGCCTACTGTCCAGACTTTACCAATATCCTCTAAGCTCCCGTTCCATGGAAAGAACATAATAAATGTTGAAGAATGCATAAGTGAATAATTAATGTTCTAACCTGAGTGATAAAACTTAGGTTATTGAGCAAAATAATCTCAAAGGCAAATAGCAAATTGTGTTGGGGTCCTGCCCCGAGAGCAGCATCCGCTGAGACCTGTGGAAACTGGCAGTGATCAACTGAAGAAACAGAGTTAGAAGCAACGGTCAAGAAAGACAAAGAGACATAGAGTGGAATTAAAAGTGGGAGCTCAGGGGTCCATTGCCCGTGGTGGGATTCTGGCATTGGCCCATAATGTTTGCTCCACTCTGATTTTATTGAAGTCTCTTTGCCCAGAGTTACCTTGCAGTTTCTTGGATTGATCACATCAGCTCCTATTCTTACTACTATTAACCTTAAGGGTGACCTTCAATAATCTGAAATCTAAGCCTTGTATTGGGAGAGCCTCCTGCTTGAGGTCACACACACAGATTTCCAGGTGGGTGTTAAGCTCCAGTTCTCTGGAGTAAAACGCCTCCAGCATTAATCTCCTCTGAGTGATGGGTGGGAAGGAGGCATTTTCCTCCCATCACCACTACAGAGGATTTTCCTCTCCAATAAGGGACATAAGCTCTTCTGCCCATATCTCAGAGCTCCAGCTACTCCTTGGGTCTCTGCCGCAGGCACATGCAAATCTCCACATTGCCTATCTGCTTTGCCTGTTTAATGGGTAGGAAACGCCCTAGAAGATATATCTTTTCTAGGACTTGCCATAATCTCTTCTTTGGCCAGTACTCTCCTCAAAGTGCTCACAGACCCAGCAGGGTGTTTGTAAGCTGTATCCCTAACAGGCTCGAATTTCAGAAAAGGTAAAAAGCTTGCTAGCAAAGGCTAGCTTAAGTGTAAGCTAGCTGACTTCTTTGTTCTGACTCACTCAGCTTACTTTTTTTCCTTTTTTGGGGGGCGGGTGCATTCCTTTGCCAAGAAAAGGGTTTTCAGTCCCCATTCTCTCAGTAAATTGCGTGAAGGGTTTGTTTTTATAACAAAGATAATTTGTCCAGCTTCTAGAATGTTTCTTAGATTTTATCCAAAGAAGCCCTGTGAACTAGGTGGTATTGTTATTTTCTTTTTCCTTTCCTTAGGCAAGGGAGCTAAGGCTAAAAGACTTTAAGTGTTATAATTATCCGGAAGCAAATAACTGGAATAGCTTAGTCACTTGACTCCAGATCTCAAATTTAGTTTGGTTACACATACATGCTATCACAACAGGCACATGAGAAATGTATACATGCCATCAATTCTGTGCCCCCAACCCCAATGGTGAAAGACAGTATTCCAGGATGTGGCCTTTGGATTAAGCCAATGTGACCTCCCATCTGTAATTGGTCCTGGGCATCCTGAAGGCTCTTACCATTTCTAGATCTTAGCCAGACAACTGGTGCAAGCTGCCAACCTGTGGCCCTGCTTAAGGCCCCCCCCCAACTGGGAGCCACTTAGTGGAATGACTAAACCTAAACCATGCCAGACTGGGCTGTCTCTGTTGCTCTTGTTTTTTAACTGGAAACTGAACATGCTTGTCCAAGCCATCAAAAGAATGCCCTTTCCCCCCTAATAAGCCCAACCCCATCATCTTAACTACCAACTCCAGTGTGTACCTATCAAAGGTCAAACGTGTCCCAGGCTCTGCTTGTTGTTTGAGGCCCTGTTGTGCAGCCAGCTGACACGGGTGCTGTGGTCTAACGCACTTTCCTTACCGGCAGATCATTTATGCTCTAACAGGACCGTAGGCGTATGACTGCCAAAAGGACGAGTGTGGATAATAAATACTCAGTTTAGATTATTGTGGGCTGGACTCATGATGGACTTTTTATTCACCTTAGTTTTCGTTACTGCTGTAAGTGACAATGTAAATTTTTATTATGTTTGAAATAGTCTATTGGTTTGGGTTTCTCAGAAGGGAGATTAAAAAATAGTTATGTTTAGTACTAATTACTTAATCCTTTAAAGGAAAATTTTCTTGCAATTTTCTGATACCGAAAACTAGTTTCAGCATATTTTGCTTTGGCATAAATAAGATTTCTATTTCAAAATAATACTCAACCATGAAGAGGAAACACGGCTTAGGTATATTGCTTGATTTTAATGAGAGAGAAATAATGCTCACTTGTTATTTATTTTACTTTTCTCCTTGTTTTTTGCCAGGGGTGAAAGCATGTCTACAAAAAAAAGTATGTGAACAAGAAGAAAAGTATGAAATCCCCGAAGGTCCACAGAGAAGCAGGCTCAACAGAGAACAGCTGGTATTTTTTCTTTTGATGCTACTTTCATTGTTCTTATTATGACTTAATGTTATTACCACCATCAGGAGAAACTTCTCCTGCCCTTTCAGCAAGTACAGGTGACTGATTAAAATTTTAATTGTGCTTATTTCAAGCACTTGATTCTGAAAGATGATCACAATGAGCAGTAAAATCCAGAAGGTAATAATTTCATACTGTTAATGGATTTTTGGCATCTTGAACATTCCCATAAACCTTTCAGAATCTGAGGTAAATCTCAGATACAGGAAGTGGCTTGAAGGAAGACTTACAGCTGCTGCTTGGATGTCGTTACCATATGTCTTCACGGCCACTTGCTGAAGTTTTAATGGCTAATACGCCATTATCCTGTTGCTATGTATAAGTATATTGGAAGTGACAACATTTCCATAGAAGGGAACTGTGAAAATTTTCTTTCCCTGTAGAGCGCACAGAAGTGTGTTTCATAGCTAATCGGATCCTGAGATATGGCTTCCATATGGTTTGTGCGTCAGTGAGTCCATCTCTGGAACCCTGGAGGCCACACTCTCACGGTGGCATTCCTGGGGACCTTAGGTTAGTAACACACACATACGTAGAGACCTGAATACATATGGGCAGAAGCAAATAAGTCTGTGGAAAAGATGTTACTTTTATCATCTAATTAAGTTTAGCCTTGTGACCCTGAAGCGTATTTCAGATACCCTAGAAGTTCTTGGGCCTCTAAGTCCCACCAAATGTGCGTAAACAGCCTGATAGAAGTTTGATTTTTTTTTTTTTTAATACAAAGCACACCTAGAATTTTAGGAAAGTGAAAAAGAACCAAGTTGGTTACTGAATTGTAGGGAAAAATATTAAAATTATGAAACCTGTATTTGCGTAATTAATTTCTAGATCCAGTTAGTTTTCTTGAAATACAGTTTGTCCCAGTACATCATTAAGTTGATTTTTAACTGCTCGTGACTATTATCGGTTGAGCATCCCTAATCTGAAAATCCAAAGTCAGAAACTTTTTGAGTATCACACCCAAATGGAAAATTCCACATGTAAGCTCATGTGATGGGTCATAGTCAGAACTTTGTTTCATGCACAAAATTATTGAAAATACTGTATAAAATTACCTTCAGGCTCTGTGTGAAACATAAATGAATTTTGTGTTTAGAATTGAGTTCCATTCCTATCTATTACATGAATACAGATTTTCCGGAATCTGAAAAAATTTGAAATCTAAGATACTTCTAGTCCCAAGCATTTCGGATAAGAGATACTGAACATATATTTTTATTTCCTTCATTCATATGTTTTTATTTAAAACTTACTTAATTTTATCTGTCTTTAACACGTTCTTTTCTTGTTATTTCAGTTGCCAAAGCTGTTTGATGGATGCTACTTCTATTTGGGGGGAACCTTCAGACACCATCCAAAGGACAACCTCATTAAGCTCATCACCGCAGCCGGGGGCCAGCTCCTCAGTAGAAAGCCCAAGCCAGACAGCGATGTGACTCAGACCATCAATACGGTCGCGTACCATGCTAAACCCGATTCTGATCAGCGCTACTGCACACAGTATATCATCTATGAGGATTTATCTAATTATCGCCCAGAGAAGGTTCGGCAGGGCAAAGTCTGGATGGCTCCTTCAAGCTGGTTTATAGACTGTGTGATGTCCTTTGAATTGCTCCCTCTTGACAGCTGAACATTATACCAGATGAACATTTCAAATTGAACTTGCACAGTTTCGAGAACCCAGCCATTGTGCTGTTTTTGATCATTCACGTTTTTACAAATAGATAGAGTTATTCGTATGTTTTTCATTGAATTAAAAAAAAAATCTTATGCCAGACTAGGAATTCACTTTGTGTTTACCATTTAGATGCTGAGATTGTTTTAAGATTTTTCTTTTTAAAATTGGCATATTTTTTGATCCATCATGTCTTTCTATTCGTATTATCAGCTATCAAAGATTATTAATGAGATGTTATCGGATGGTTAAATATGCAAGTAGTATCATTATGGTGTCAACCTTTTATTATTCTTTGATGAAAATTATTAACACCTGCCATCAGCAAAAGTACTTGCCATTCTTTAGTTTAGTAAACAGAATATTATCAAATAATTTGTTCTGGATTTATTATAATGAAAAAAGAGCACCTGATTGTCACCATAGGTGTTAAATTCTCCCCCATCTGTATCTGTTAGCTTACATTTTGTTTATTTTGTTTTTTATAATTCACTTTGGGTGTTCCTGAATTTTTTATCCTTGTTTTTTATCTTGTGTAATCATGATTTAAACCGTAACAGCTTTTTGGTGGTGAAAATCAACACTGGGCTCACGGTACATTTTTTTTATTAATATTTCTTAGAAGGTTCTAACAATCTAGCAAATTGTCAATCAGATATTAATACACTGGATTAAGAAGCAATCTTCTTTAAGTAGACCTTGCTAGGTATTGCTAAAATCTTTTTGCAGGTCTTCATTTCTTCCTTTGTAAACTTTTTCAAGTTTTTAGATTGGCATGGAGGCAGAAGTTGGCGACTACTTGACTTAAAACCAATTTTATTCCAGATCATACAAAAGTCCATAATGAGTAAGTGTCAAGGCAGGAGTGGGAAGGGCTTACTCTTCATATCAAACAGTCAAGGCCGTGAGTAGTTGGCAGGACACCACCTGGGAATGGCCAGATCTGCGAGGTTACTGTGGTCCTTGTGAATTGACAAGGATAGATGAGATGATTTTAAAACATTTTTTAAGAAGGAGAATTCTTCATTAAGTCCTTCCTAGAAGTTGAATGTACTTAAAATATTAAAGGCTTGGTGAAGGTGACACTGTGGGACCTGCCAGTTTGGTTGCTCATGAACCAGAAAGGACAGCTGGATTACCACTGGAATAGAATTATTTTTAATTTTAAAATACTAAGAATATGTGAAGTATGAAGTTACTTGGCATCTTAGGAAACACTTATTTGAAAGTTTAAGATTCTGTTTATCTTTTGAAAATACATTTTATTTAATTTCTTCTTTTGTCTCTTTTTCTTATGAAGAAACATTGTGAAAATAAACTGTTATACTTTTGACCTTCCGGGGTGAATTAGCTCTGAAATACTCTCTACAACCAATAATATATTTGTCCCACATTTCATTCTGATGGAGAATGATGAACACCATAACACCAAACAAATCTGAGGGGTTAGATAATGTCTGGATTAATAATTTAAGGCTCTCAGGGATTTTTGGTTGCCATTTTTTTATAGCTGACTTTTAAGTCACTTTCTATTGCTTCATAGGTCACATTCCTAGATAGGTTCATGTGTTTCTTGCATCTGAATTCCTGTTTGTAAAACACCGTTGGGCTTTGCTGCTCACTTTTCTTTGTTAATTTTCCTAGTTTATCCCTCTCCCTCTTTGTCCCCACCCACCCACACACATACACGCTACTAAGCAGTTTCATTTTGGTGTCTTTAAATACTTATTTTCATAGTACTTGGTTTATTACAATTGTACTTTCTGTATGGATGTGCTTGTAATTGTTTTCATTATTCAATCATAAATTTAAGCTTTTTATTTACCATAAATCATTGAAGTTATTTGTGTTTCCATAGATCTGTATCTTCTATAAAATTGGCTTATTCTGTTCTGCTCAAGAATGAGATTTAACATTATTTGTGAGGAAATTCTTATGACTTAACAAAATCATATCTTTTTGAACACTAACGCTTTTTACTTTGAATGGAAATATATCTAATTTACATAAATATTAGGTACTTTATTACCTTAAATAAATTATTCTGTATAGGGTGTAACTTGATAGTTTGGAATCATCATGGAGGGCAGCAATTAGCCAGCATTTCTTCCCTGGTTCCATTAAAGTCAGAAGGTTGGAAGCTTTTCCATCTTATTCCTCACGGCTGCTTCTAGTTCAGCCCACATCTGTCCCTTCTCCTGTTTTCCTTAAAAGTTGCTACTTTATAGCTATTTCTCTGTGTCTATCAATGCTTTACTGTTTCGTATTTAATTTTTTTCTTTTGACTTGCTAAAAAATGGAAACCAGATAGGAAGTATATTGCAATTATGACTGATAAAAGGATAAGTGAGCTATATGGGTGAGTTTTGGTGATTCACCTAAGAGATATGTGAATTTTATTTTATTTTATTTTTCAGTTTTTGGCCAGGGCTGGGTTTGAACCCGCCACCTTCAGCATAAGGGGCCAGTGTTGAGCCACAGGTGCCGCCCAATACTTGAATTTTAGTTGATAGAATGCGCTATGTATCTGTCTCAATTTCTTTTAAGTCTGTTTTGTGAATTTTATAGTTAAGTTACCTCTGAATAGATGAAGATGAAGACTTGGGAGGTTTGTTCTTTCCTCTGGGAATAGGAAGAGTCAGAGGTGGGGGTGAGGTCACCGTAGCTGTCATTGCTTCCATGGGACAGTACAGAAGAGTTAATTGTGTTCTAAAGGTTCAGGGAGCTCATTAGAATCACAAATATCTGTTTCTGTTTTCTAACTAGAACACATTAAAATGGCAGAAAATAATGCTTATTTTATTTAATAACATAAAGCCACTGTTTTGTTTGAAGGTAGATTGAACTAAATATTGTGATTTTCATGTATGTCTAAGCCAACCCTTTTTGATGATTTGCACATCAAACTACCTAATAAATAAAGACTGAGCAGTTGTTAAGTTTTAAATTTTTTTTTAAAGTCAACTAATAAGTCTTATGCCTGCCTAATTAAGGTGCACGATCTCTTAGGAATTGGGGATTGTCAAGTATTTGTGTAGCTTCCTAAGACACAAGATGCACTATTTGATCCCTGTAAGCTTCTGTTGGAATGGTGATGTGGGAGAAATGGGGAAGGCCCTGGACTGTTCTGACATTCAGTTGGCTTACAGGGTTAATGACTAGCACCCTGCCCCGGAGGAAGATAACTTTTCGCTGACTTTTCGCTGAAGTTTTCCCATCTATGTAGCATCTCCGGCCCATTCAACTAAAACTTTGTTTTGCTTTTATCTCCTGAATGTATTTACTATGATACCAAGACACTTAGGTCTTCACAGGTAAGTCATGTACCTTAGCACTGGGCAAACTTCTGTCATTGTGGACTCCCAAACCCTTCTGCCACTTCTGCATGAGCCCTTAAAAAAAAAGGCACTTGAGCTTTGAGCGAGTCATATTTTCATCAGTTCTACAAGTTTGTCAAACCCATTCCCCATTTGCCTGTTACCTAAAATAATAGAATTACCCAAAAATTTTGGCATAAATGAAATAAAAGGTCTTTTTCTGAATCTTACTAACGTAAACATTTGAGTTTTTAACCAACTCTGCTCATAAAAGTACTACATAGTTACTGTGGCAAATTTGAAAGTCCAAAAAACACAGTCCCAACATTGTTTGGTGTGGCTTTCATAGGGTAATAAAATACACTGAGTGCTGTCGAAGGGCTTGTATGCCCCCGTTCAGGAGGAGTCCCCTGCTTCGAGCAGGTCCAGAGCTGCTTGCTAGAGTCACACGCGTCCTGCAAAGGCTGGTGAAGGTGTCCCCCACTCCATGGGGGGGAGGCCCAGAACTGATTGCTAAAGCCATGTGCATCCCACGGGAGGTGGCAGAGGAGTTCCCCTCACTAGGCACCTGTGCAGGGTGGGCTCAGAACTGCTTGCTAGAGCCATGTGTGCCCCACAGGTGACAGCAGAGGAGTCCTCAGCTTGAGATGGGCCCAGAACTACTTGCTAGAGACGCATGCAACCCACGAGCCATGGCGGAGGAGTCACTCACTCCAGGCATGCCCAGAACTGTTTGCTACAGCCGCGTGTGTCCCACGGGCAGCATAGGAGGAGTTCCCCACTCCAGCCTCCCACACCAGGCAGGCCCAGATCTGCTTGTAAGTGCGTGCATGTCCCCTGGGGTGGTGGAGGAGGAGTCCTCCGCTCTGGGTGGGCCCAGAACTGCTTGCTAGAGTTGCATGCATCCCACTGGATGTGGTGGAGGAGTCCCCTGCTCTGGGTGGGCCCAGAACAGCTTGATAGAGCTGTGTGCATCCCGCAGGCAGTACAGGAGATCCCTCACTCCAGGCACCTGTGCCAGGCAGGCCCAGAACTGCCAGAGCTTTATGCTCCCAGCATCCCCAGCCAGCCACCCGAGAACTATGAGAGGACAGTCAGCTGAGAGGGAACAATACTAGAACGGCGGTACCCCAAGGTAAAGAGCAGCAGCCACAGCAGTGGGAACAACAAGGCCCACACCCCTGAGGCTCTTCTGGACAGACACGCTCTGCCTGTCTGGGCAACCAGAGGAAGGTGGCATCTTCTCTGGTGGAGGCCACTGACTGAACAGTTATAGTATATTCTCCACACAGTGTAATTCAGCATGGGGCAAAATCAGTGGAAAAACTCTGGTAATTCAAATAACCAGAGCAGATCAACTCCCCCAAGGAAGGATGGGTTAGATGAAATTGAAGATTCCATCTATAAACAGATGACTGAGATGTCAGAAATTGATTTCAGAATTTGGATAGCAAATAAGATTAACAGAATGGAAGAAAGGAGGGAATTAGAATTTCAAGAAATTATTCAAAAGATGTCTCAAGAAATTATTCAAAAGATGTCTCAAGAATTCAACGATTTCAAAGATAAAATGACCAAAGATTTTGAAACACTGAGGCAAGAGGTTGCAGCCCTCAAAGATCTAAAAAATATGGTAGAATACCTCAGCAACAGAATGGAGCAGGCAGAAGAAAGGATCTCTGACATTGAAGACAAAGCTTCTGAACGTGCCCAAGTGCGCAAGGATGAAGAGAATGGAGAGCAAAAATAAATCACTCTCTCAGAGAGCTCTGGGATAATTTGAAGAAAACTAATATTTGTCTTATAGGAATCTCTGAAGGCGACGAAGTGGCTTCACAAAGCACAGAGACTCTACTTCATGAAATTATGAACGAGAACTTTCCAG